AAAAAATAAATAAATAAATAAATAAATAAATAAATAAATAAATAAAAATCAAAAGCCATAAAAGCATAGTTACCTGAAAAGCTATTGACATGTCATTTTACAAAAAGAGCAATTAACTGAATTTTGGTCAGCAAAGACTTCTCCATCTGAGCACTGTCCCTGCCATCTCAGCAGGTCCCTAACAGTAGTGCTGCTCAGTAGGTATAGGCTATGGAATTTATCTCTAAAGGACTTGGCTCTTCCAATCTCCTCAGCAGGGCACTTTAAACACCAATGTTACTGGTGCTAATCAAAAGACTATGCCACACATACATGGTATCGAAGCCTAGAAAGAGACAGGGTTTGGCCCCACAACCCACACCACAAAGTAGAGGCTCACCAACAGCAGGTGGCACAGTGAACACAGACATACGCTGTTCATATTTAACAAAGATAGGAGGAAGACAGGAGAGCAAGGAGAGAGTGTGCTGGCTAGTCTTATGTCAACTTAACACAAGCTAGAGCTCTCTGAAAGGAGGGAACCTCAATTAAGAAATGCCTCTGTAGCCAGGTGGTGGTGGTATGCTCCTTTAATCTCAGTACTCGGGAGGCAGAGGCAGGTGGATCTCTGAGTTTGAGGCCAGCCTGGTTTACAGAGTGAGTCCCAGGCCAGCCCCAAAAGCCACAGAAAAACCCTGTTTTAAAAAACCAAGAAAAAAAAAAAAAAGACAAGAAAACAAATGCCTTGGTAACCAGGCAGTGGTGCCTCACATCTTTAATCCCAACACTTGGGAGGCAGAGTTAGTCGGATCTCATGAATTGAAAGTCAGCCTGGTCTACAAAGAGTTCCAGAACAGCCACTGCTGTTATAGGGAAACCCTGTCTCAAACAAACAAACAAAAACAAAACAAAACAAACAAAAAAAGCTGCTGTAAAATCCAGCTGTAACTTAAAAAAAATAACTTTTGAAAAAAGATCCATCTGTAAGTTTCTTTTCTTAATTAGTGATAGTGATTGATGGGGGAGGGCCCAGCCTATGGTAGGTGGGGCCATCCCTGGGCTGATTTGTCCTGGGTTCCTTTTTTTTTGGTTTTTCGAGACAGGGTTTCTCTGTGTAGCTTTGGAGCCTATCCTAACACTCACTCTGGAGACCAGGCTGGCCTCGAACTCAGAGATCTGCTTGCCTCTGCTTCCCGAGTACTAGTATTAAAGGTGTGTGCGCCACCAATGCCTGGCAGGTTGCCCTGGGTTCTTTAAGAAATCAGGCTGAGCAAGCCATGAGGAACAAGCAGGTAAGCAGCACCCCTCCATGGCCTCTGCATCAGCTCCTGCCTCTAGGTTCCTACCTTGTTTGAGTTCCTATCCTAGCTTCCTTCAGTGACAGACTACAATATGGACAGACTACAATATGGACGTGTAAGACAAATAAACCCCTTTCTCTCCAACTTGCTTTTTGGTCATAGTGTTTCATGGCAGCAATAGAAACCCTAACTAAGACAGAGAGGGAGGAAATAAAGGAATGGTCTGCAAAACATCAGATCATGTTAATAGTGGCTTCTCTGTGAATGAGATTATAGATAACTTTTAATTCATGTATGTGCACTTTTCTCAGTTTTCCAAATACTCTGAAATAAATGGGTATTATTTATATATCCAAGACAGTTACTCTTTAGTGAAAAGATAAGTGGCTTACATCCAGGAGTGACAAAGTACTATGTATTAGATGAAACATACTCCAAATAACCATAAGCTCTAGGTGGAACATCAGAACAAAGAAGAGGTAGCAGGTGATACAGAAGGGAAAGGACCCTAGCAAGTTTCCCAAAGTTGGCAGGTGGCATGAGGGCAGTCTCCAAACTACACTCTGTGGAAGGAGGACAGGGAAAGCAGAGACTGCTGGAAAGAGGAGGCCCTGTCTCCCCTACCTAGGTCTGACTGGCAGGCATTAGGAGTCTGGCTGACCATCAACTATATGCAGAAAGACACCCAGGCAGCATACAGGGATCAACATAAGAAACTAAAAAGTTAAGTGCCATCTGCCTTAAGGGAGAGCAAAACTGCAGCTGCAACACAGTAGCCAAGCATGGTAGGTCACATTCCTAACACTCAGGAGACCAAAGCAGGGGGACTGCAAATACAAGGCCAGCCTGGACTGCATAAAGAAACCTTGTCTTGTTTTTTGTTTTTCTGTTGTTGCTGTTTTTCTAGACAGGGTTTCTCTGTGTAGCCATGACTGTCCTGGAACTCAGTTTATAGACCAGCTGGAAACCCTGTTACCTAGGGAACAGTAAGATGGCTCAGCAGGTAAAGATGCTTCCCACCATGCCTGATAACCTGAGTTGGATCCCTAATAAATACATGCAAGAAGGAGAGAAATCAAGTTCCCTAGGTCATTCTCTGACCTACATACATATCCATGTACTGTACACATATACGTATGTGTATGTGCTTGCATACACATACAAAATAAACAAACAAACAGGGCTGGAGAATTGGCTCAGTGGGTAAGAGCACTAGCTGCTCTTCCAGAGGTCCTGAGTTCAATTCCCAGCAACCATATGGTGGCTCACAACCATCTGTAATGAGATCTGGTGCCCTCTTCTGGCCTTCACACATACATTCAGACAGAACAGTGCATACACAATAAATAAATCTTTAAAATAAACAAACAAAGTAGCTTACAGAGAACTAACTCAAAATGACTGCTGTCTATACAAGAATACACTCACCTCCTCCTGGAGGAAGACTTACTTCATCAGGAACCTGCAGCTTGAAAGTGAAAATTCTCCTCAATTTTAAGTAAGTAATGAAATGGCTAAATGGCTAGACCACAGGTTCTAAGACTGACACTGTCATTAAAGGTAGAATGGGGTCAAGGGAGAAGAAAGAGACCTTCCGTTAGAGGAAGAGACTCACTAACCTTTCATCTCTTAATTCAAAGTCTTCAGACACCAGGACTTGGTATAGACAATACAAAACGTACCTGAACCTTCTTTTCAAAAGTATGTACAGTGGAACTAAAGGGATGACTCCATGGTTAAAAGCATTTTTTGCTCTTGTAGAGGACCAGAGTTTTGTTCCAAGCACCCACATGGTGGCTAGCAAGCTTCTGTAACTCTGGTTCCAGTGATTCCAATGCTCTCTTCTGGTCTCACAGACACCAGTATGAATGTGATACACATACATACATGCAGGTGACACACTCATGTATACAAAATAAAAATCTTAAGAAAAACAAAAACAGCCGGGCGTTTGTGGCGCACGCCTTTAATCCCAGCACTCGGGAGGCAGAGGCAGGAGAATCTCTGTGAGTTCGAGGCCAGCCTGGTCTCCAGAGCGAGTGCCAGGACAGGCTCCAAAGCTACACAGAGAA